TCAAGTTCACTCCTGTAATGGACTTCAGTCTTCTTTGTAATGAAGTTATAGTCTATCACAGGAGTGAGCTTGGAGTGGTGGCTGCTTAACAACACACACAGGGACCATGGGGAACAAAAGTAGCCACGCTCCAGAAAGAAGAACATCGTCAGCATGGATTCACAGATGATTCGAGGATCTACAGCTGAGAGATGCACAAATAACATACATCTTTGTTGATAGGGTACTTGAATACATTTTTAAAGATTTAAGTTTAGTATCACTTTAACGCAGTGCATGGTAACGTGTAACATAATGCACGTTGACGCACAGAAATTAACAAGTGTGAATGGATTTTCAACTTTAGCAGAATAAATGTGTATAGTTTTGTACAATTTCTTGTTGATTTTGGCCTGGGATGATGACTAGAAGCTGCCCGTTGTGTACCTCAATTAGATTTCTGAACAGAAGGTTTGTGTTTGGTAAAATGCTGCCACCATAAAAACACCTCGTCAAAAAGATATTCTTCTTGGTTAAGCTTCTGAATATCCTCTTTTATTTCTTTAAATAATTATAACTCTTTTAGATCGGATAATTTGTACTTTAAGATCACTTCATTAAATCTATGCTTATAGTTAATGTTTACTGGCGTACTTGAAAAAGCAATGAAAAATACTTCTACAGAACCACAATAAAACGGGCAGAGATCAAATGCATTATAAGCATCAAAAATGCTATTAATGTGACTCCACTATTGCTTGTTTCTCATTAGCAACCACCATTATATCCTTAAATCACTAAGAGCAGCTATAGAGGAACCAATTAGTCTCTTTGTAACAAGGAGGAAGGATTTAATTATTGATTATCTGTCCACAGGCTATATTGCAGAAGACCCTCTCTGTCTTCACCATCTTTTCTCTACCCAGTACATCGCCATGGTTACATCGTAATTATTTCTGTGTTTTATTCATGCATTTGTTTTGATGTAATTTCCCTTCCAGTACAAAACCAACTAAAAGGACCCAAAATCTATAAGCAGGATTTAATATAAGTAAGCAGAATTTTATAAATGACTTTTCTAAAGTGCTTTATATGAAGTTGTCCCAAAGACAACATCCTGTCCAGTATCCCTTCCGAAGGATAAGTCGCCCTGCTTTACCCTGATATGGCAGACAGTATGCTGAAAGTTGGGGTTTATGTATCAACACAGCAGAAGTCCATTGTTAAAATCACAAGGGTAGCCAACACACTCTATTTGTGAAGTCAATGCCCGGGTGGTCATCCACAAATAAATATCCATAGAAATCTAAAGTAGGTATAGAGACAATGAAGGGTCTAATTCAAAGCAACAGCATTTTATTGTCAATGTTTCAACAAAGCACATTTGATAAAGATGTCACATGCAGTATGTCACATTCTCCTCCATACCCAGAAGTACCACTCTGCTTTTGTAGCACTGAGAGTTGACCATACATAAATATATAAAACAATCAGTGTAAAATTGGGTATTTGGAATTGAATGCCACACCGTGATGTCGTCCGGATACAAATTTATTCTAATGTAATATCAATTATAACTGTACATAAAACCAACACATTTAATGGGCTAAGCCTTGCCCCCTCTATAAGGGTTTCAAGAATATGAGGTGCTGTAAATCAACTTGGTAGAAAAAGATAATATTAGAACCAGTGATTTAACGCCTAGTACTAA